CAAACTGTTTCCATTTAATTTCTGCTGATTCTTTATCTATTCCATTTGACGTTTCTTAATCTGTCTCATTTCTTCATAGCCTGCTTTTAGAATTTGCAAGAACATAAAAAGTGAAAGGAGGCCATTTGGTCCTTAGTTGCTTATTTCCCTGATGCTAGCATTGAAAAAATGTCTGCAGGTACTGGTATAAGTGATAGGTTTATTCTTGTGCTTGGAACATATCATACAGTAATTATCTGCTAGTGTAGTCTGTCTCTTGCGTGTTTTTCTAATTCTCCTGGCATTTAAGTAGAAGAGCACAGTGGCTGGAACTGCTGCCTTGCAGCGCTTGGGTCCTGGGTTCAGTTCCTGGGGTGCTGTCTGCACGGAACTGGTATGTTTTCTCCATGTTTACGTGAGTTTTCTCCACATGCTCCAGTTTCCTCCCACAGTCCCAAGAGATATTAGGGTAGTTTAATTGTCTTCTGTAGAAAACCTGGTCTTGGTGCGTTTGTGTCTGTTTGTGGCTTGTAATGAACTGGCATTGCATTCAGGATGCATCATGTCCTGTGCCGGTTGCTTTCTGTCTTAGGCTCCAGCTCCTCCTCTGATCCTGTACTGTGATCCTCTACTGCTGCTTTGCTTTTTCTGCTGGTTTCTCTTTTTGACTTTACAATAGTTTATTACTTGTAGATTTTCTTTGGATGCTTCCCCCTTTCATTGTAGATGATTCTTTTTGAGTTTCCTTTTAGGTTCTTGACCAAAACTAACTGTTTAACTCTAATGTAAATTTGTCTGTATAGTTTATATTTTTGCCAATGGAAGGTTTCTGGTCTGAGATGGCTGAAGTCCTCCTCAGTACACCTTGACCTCAGTCTGAGCAGCTGTGTTGACGATTTAACTTTGAATGGTACAGACAGGACCCCTGTGAAAACTGTGGGTTTGGTCTTGCCTTTCAGTCTGTGTCCAAGGCCTTTAAATTAGTTTATTCTGGAAAGTGTGTCTTGTCATTTGTCCCTAAATGTTGTCTATTGGTCTTCAGTGCATATCTCACTTGTGATGTTCTTGAGAACGGAGAGCTACCACTTCTCTGTATCTAGTGACAAAGGTATTGATTTTGGCTGTTGTGACTGGTAACTGCAGTATCTCAGATGTTAGCATCTTGGGAGCTGCTGTCTTGAGCTTTCAGGTTTTCCAGAGGAGCAAATGTGTTTGGTGGTGTGATGTGAGGTTGTACTGTAACAGTTGACTGCCCAGGACCACATCTTCTCTCTAAGCTTGTCTGACTTATAGCTCTGATATTTCAGCGTGATGGATTGTCCCATATTTGTCTAATGCAGTCACATTTAAAGGAGGAGGTGGGTTTTGTTGCAGCTCTCACACATGTAGTTCAGCTGTTGGAAGTCTTTCTGGAGGCTCTGCCTGTTGTACAAGTCGCATCCATGGTTTGGAGACCGTTTTTGGCCTGGCTTTTTGATAAGATATTTTATAGAAATGGTAAGATGTAGGCTTTTTGGTGGGGAGGGGGGGTAAATCAGCTTTTTTTGGAGAAGAGAGCATTCTTAGTGGAATGTTTTAACGCTAATTTCTCAGTACACAGTACACAGCTGAGGTGCAATAAGCAGCATTGCAGACATTAAAGAGTTCTATGGGAGAAAAAGATAGTCGTTGCATAGCAATTTATGTTTAAGTTGAGCAGAGATGTTGACTTGTGTACAGACTGTGCTGATGAAGCAGGAAAGACATTCACATTCAAGTTTACTAAAAATAAAGTAGCAAGTTAAAAATATACAACTTCTGTCAGCTCGTACAGTATCTTGCAGGAGCTTGTAGGATAAATAATTTTAAAATACTGTACAGCAAGGTGTGTTGTTTGTTTCCTATGAACATAACAATGGTAACAGATAAGGGGAGGACATTCAACTACTAACTTTGATAGTAGTTAGTAGTCAATCACAACCCTTTGTATAAAGAAGTGCCTCCCGTTCTCAGTTTTAAGTGAACTTCCACATGGTTTTAACTTGGTACGAAACTCTGGTTCGTGTTTCACGGTTTATTCTGAAGAGGTCTATTCGGTTGACTTTATCGTGGCCTTAAATTTTTAGACTTGTATTAGGTCCCCTCTGCAGATGGACAAAGTTCCGTATTAAAAGAATAGACAGATGTGTATCAGGTACGAGAAGCACTCAGGATTAGTTAATCCCAGGGGCCTGAAATGGCTCTTTTTAGTCTTTAACAGAAAAAAACATTACTAACCCTTCTCCACTGCTTCCATGTTCATCCTTTCCCAGTTCTATTTAGGTATTCCTATAAAGTCTCCTTTTCTGAAATGTCTATGTTGGATTCAGTCTGTATTATTATTATTATACAGTAGCTACTTTTATTTATAAAGCACCTTTTCAAACCTAAGGGTGCTGTACATATAGATACAAAAATATTTACTTCAGAGCTGACCATGGTTACATTTTCTGGTGTTTTTCTCATCTCTCTTTTCCTCACTCTGTTTTGATTGTTTAAAAGACAGACTGGTAAGAAAGCAGTCTTTCACCATGTCTACCCACTTACTGAATTCCTTTATGCATAAATTCTTATTACAATTTATATGGAATATATATATGGAATTCTAATCAGCTATCTGCATTTGATGTTCTATTACACTACCTTAGTGATGTTTTTAATGAGTCTAACCCATATAGATTCAACCTTGTATCCTTTTGTTTTAGTTCCTGAACCTGAATATTCTTTTTGATATTTAACTTTACATCTCCTCCTACCTTTCCTGGCTCTCCGGAACAGTGTGTTATCCATTAATGTAACATTAATCTCATTCATTTTCCATTAACCATGTTTCTGTGATCCTAATGATATAATAATTTCCTGATAATGCAATAGCTTCTAATTCCTTTGTTATGTTTCAAATACTCTAGACATTGAGGTACCATTTCTTAATTACCCGGTCTTCTGTTTTGTTTTCCCCTTTGTCTCTCTTTATGTCCTTACTCACCATGAATTTTTGGAAGTTCTTTAACTTCTCCTCCTTCTAGAAAGCCATCCTAGGTTATACGTTCCTTGATTTGTTTGTGACTGATGACAGTTGCACCAAAAATCAGTCAGGATGGCTGATGCCCCTGGAGCTCTCCTGGTTTCTTGTTGTAGACTTGGGATCTGGGATATACTGTAAGTAGTAATTTCCTGATGTGTTTAACAAAGTAGAGAGCAAAGTAAGCCTGAAAGTAACTTGACTTGTGCTGCCTAGTGATTGTTTGAACATGGCTTCTTTTGGTACCTCCAAATAATAGCTTATTATATGTGTACATACAGTATCATAGTACATCACTATAAGCCAGTTACCTATGCTCTTTTCCCTTTTGAGCAAGGTGATAGTCAGTAGATGTGTGAATACAAAAGGCAATTGGTACCCCTGTCAATGTCTGTTCTTGTGGGCAGTCCTTTTGTAATTGTTCTTTCCTAAAGGACCTGCACAAGAGGTGAAAGGCTACCAGTTGCTCCAAAAACTCAGCTTTGATGATAGAATGACTTTCACAGGCACAGCATTTCGTGAGTGTATAAAATATACATGTGCATCCCCTGCCTGTCAAGACTATCTTCTGCATCCAAAGCCAAGTGTGAAATTGACCTGACAGCATCCTTCTTAGCCCAGGCCCAGAGGGAAATACATCTGCTTTATTTTCTCACGTGTGTGTTGAAATGTGCTTACAGTGTGTGAATAAGCAGAATTTCTAAATTATCGTCCCACTAGCATGCTTTATTTATCCCTTCTGATTGTGTGTGCCTTTTTATAGTTGCAGCAGTTTTCAGGTCATATATCACATTAAAGCCCTGTGCTATATTGGGAGATGGCGCTACAATTGTTGGCTAAGAGACTTGTGATTGGGCTGCCCTGAGCTTCCTCAATGGCCAGTCAATTGCTGGACCAGCCTTAGAAAACTGTGTCTGTTTCGTGAGCTCGTACCTGAGGAACGTTAAATAGCTGAAGGGTTTTGTTTCCACTTCCTACTTTTCAGCATATAAACAGCTCTTCTTTTTACTTTGCCACCAATGCACACTGATGCAGCTCCCTGCTCAAACCTGTGTTTCATCTGAAACTTAAAATCATCTTAAATCTCTTATACACTAGCTTTCTATTTTATGTACTCATTTGTGTATGTGTGTGTAACTTGGCTTGTTTTCTTATAAATTGATGGTAAAAAAATATATCCAGAAAGGCACTATAAGAACTATTAGAAGTTGGTGTTAATACAAATCAAAGGCCTTCTGTACTGGAATGTGTATTTTTGGCGATTCGAGTTGGGTATATTTTGGTTTTTGAAGACTTTTTCTTGAATTTTGCTTATTGCAGTTGATGAATTTGTGCATTGAGAAATTGTTTCACTGGACTGGCAGTAAAAAAAAAGTTTTTATTTTAGCCTGGCTTGTAAACTGAGATTAATTTGGCAGGAAGAAAACCAAACAAGACAATTTCATGTATTTTCGACGTTGACTGCCTGGGATCAGGCTTGATATCTGTAAAAAAAAAAAACAACTGATTTGCCACTAAATATTTTCCTGACTCTTAACAGGATTAAATCAGGATCATATGAGCTGTGTTTCTTTGTAACTGTTTTGAGTACTGTAGTAGTTTTATACTGTTTTCAGCCAAAAAACAATCTTTTTACATGAACTTTAAAGTACTATCAGTAATTTTAGAAAGTATCCATGGTATATTTTTTATGTAGCCTACAGTATGTACAGTCTACGGCTACGTGTCAGAAATCACAAGGTTATCGGTTCTCCAGTCTATAGTAAAGATTCATACACTTGTAACACAAATCTCAAAATAGTGCATCACTATAGTCTATATTTCATCTTTTGTAAAGACGAAATTGAAACTGGAAGGCTGTACAATTGACAGCAGTAGTGCACAGCTTTCAGTAAAACCAGAGTACTGTTACCACTCTTGAAAGTAAGGTGGGAAGGATTTTATATGCTTTAAAAATAACTCAATTCAGTTTTGTTTCCAGGAGCTGACTGCCAAACAGAAGGGGACCATGTGCAAAGCTGTCGCTTCACCTTGATCACAAGGCATGATGGAGTGATCTTTTAACTTCCTGACACCCCTCCCTTCTCCCAAAAAGAAAACCTGAAAATGGGGTTTTAAATATAAGGCTGAAGGGGTATTCAGGTAAGCTATTTTAAATAACTTTGCTGTTGAAGTGTACTGAAGACAAGGGTCTCCCAACTCTGGACCTTGAGATCTCCTGACACTGTGAATGGATTGAGGGAACAAACTGGACGAGTCATACTCTTATTGAATCAGGTTAACACTCCACCCAGATGATGAGCCGTTTCTCACTGAAGGGACCTCTGCTAGATCCCAAGCCATACGGACTGGAATTGGGATGTTTGTTTCATTTTTTAACATCGTGCAAGTTAAGGCACTTCTGGTGTCTCTGGCACCATCAGTGAAAAATTGCAGGATCCTGTTTTGTGCTACAGGTATTTTATTTGAACAGCATTACAAATGGACCTTTAATACTGTATATTATTACATAGTTGACATTTTGCTCTCTTTCATGTACAGTACTGTACTGCATTAGCCCTGGCAAAGGGTTACCGTAATACTGTATGTCTATGAGAAAATACCAACATCAAAATGGAGCAGGCTGAAGCACATTGAGAGATAATGGCTTGACCCTGTACTGTAGTCTAATGCAGAGCAATATACAGAAGGCAGGTTTTTAAAATCGGCCAGCCCCACTGTGTTACTGGGTGGGGTACTGTATATCACGTTCAGAATGTGCATGTAAGAAGACCTTTAAATACAGTACAGTGGTCTCTTTTGCTAGTTCAGTTTGGACCAATGCTGTCTTTATCTGAAGAACGTCTTGTAATAATAATAATTGCTTACACTTATATAGCGCTTTTCTGGACACTCCACTCAAAGCGCTTTACAGGTAATGGGGACTCCCCTTCACCACCACCAATGTGCAGGATCCACCTGGATGATGCGACGGCAGCCATAGTGTGCCAGAACGCTCACCACACAGCAGCTATCAGTGGGGAGGAGAGCAGGGTAATGAAGCCAATTCATAGATGGGGATTATTAGGAGGTCATGATTGGTAAAGGCAAATAGGAAATTTGGCCAGAACACCGGGGTTACACCCCTACTCTTTTCGAGAAGCGCCCTGGGATTTTTAATGACCACAAAGAGTCAGGACCTCGCTTTTACATCTCATCCGAAGGACGGCGCCTGTTTACAGTATATTGTCCCCGTCACTATACTTGGGCATTAGGACCCACATGGACTGCAGGGTGAGCGCCCCCTGCTGGCCCCACTAACACCTCTTCCAGCAGCAACCTTAGTTTTTCCCAGGAGGTCTCCCATCCAGGTACTGACCAGGCTCACACCTGCTTAGCTTCAGTGGGTTGCCAGTTGTGAGTTGCAGGGTGATATGGCTGTAATGAGAGTTTGTTCTAGTGTTGATGGACATTGTAGGCCAAAGCTCTCTAGTAAACTCTCCCAGCAGGCAAGTGAACATTTCTGGGTCTTGACACAGATGTGTTTGTGTATGTAATGTCTATTGAAAAGTTGGACTTACACTCTGACTTTTGCAGATATCACCTTTTCCCTCATGCATTTCAAAGTTTAAGAGACACTTAAGCCCTTCAGTTTTCCAGTGATGAATGGACTGTTCTCTGCACTCCTCCCTCACTACACAAGCATAATTTGGTTCCAACTTTTCAGCATATAATATAGGTGAAAACCCATAAAAGCCACACTAAGTTCCCATTATAATACAGTACATGAAAACCCCCAGTTCATTCCAAAGTATTTGTAATTGGCCATAAGCCGAGTGGGTTTAGGTACTTTTCTAATGTATTTAAATGGTTTAGCATCATAAAAGGCTTATTACAGTATACAGTATGTTACAACAAGTAAGATTTATCAACATTTCTTTTTATGCAAGCTGTTAGTTTAAATCTGTTATGATGTAGTACTGTGGAGAATGAAGATTTGCACGATCTCCATAGTACAAGTAAACCAAATTTCTTACTCAACAAAAATTATTGTTTATTATACATCTCTGACTGTAAAACCAAGAACATCAAGCTTGTAATAAATGTTAAAATTTCTTAAACAATATTATTTTATTACAAATTGCACATTCAAAATATTATACTATAGTATCTATGCAACTGGTATAATACCTTTAAAATTTCTGTTAAGACCACGTCAGCCAGGAGGAGTGGAAAGTAAAAATGGAAGAAAGAGCAACATGCTTGGAGCTCGTATTGGCAGGAGAGTTCCTCGTATAACAAAAATAATTATCTGTATGTAGTTTTTGTTTTAGCAATTGCTCATAAGTAAAGCATTAATTTAAAGAGGGAGTAGTGTATACTGTATATGTTTGGCTATTAACAGCCACGTTTATGTAGAAAATAGAGAATAGCTTTATGTCTTGAGGGCATTATTCCTTTTTTCCAGAACTTATTTTATTGCACTATTCCACTAATCTCAGTAGTTCATTCTCACTACTGTATCACACACAGCCTTTGCTGCAGGTGAACTGAACCACAGTCCCACCTTCCCAAACAGCGTTGAACTATTCCTATCACAGTGGTGTACTCTCTTTTGTAGGTACAGCTTCTAGGTAACAGGCAGAGTGAAGTTGTTTTAATTGAAGTGCAGGTTAAAGGGCACTCAGTCCCCGATGCAGTGTAGGAATGATTCTGGTGAGGTCAGCTTTTGTTGTTCAGTCATGAACCAGGCAGGGAATTACAGCTGGGATCAGCTAATGGTTGTTAATGACTTGGTGCTGTTTTATTACTGAGAAGAAATACTTCAGAAACCTTGGACGTGTGCTACTAGTTCCAGTGCAAGAGAGCATTCTCTCCGTTCATCATCAAAAATTCATATTTTAATATAAGGCACTTTGCGATCCCTCTGGGGTTCCTGGATGTATATTAGGTGATTTCAAAGCACTTCATCTCCCTCCTAGTGGGTGACTCTGCAAGCACAATTTGCAGAGTGGTCGTACTCATTTTGTGTTGTGTGTTTTATGGACAGCAATCAAAGCTGATATTGACTGGCTTCTTCTAATGCCTCCTTGTAACATTTCTCATTTTATCTCATTTCTCATTTTCATTTAATGAAATCAAGTGTTACTTAACCAGCAGGAATATGAATCATAAACTTGTCTCGTACAGAAAGGAATGAATTCAGGTAAAGGATACCAGTACCATGACATACTGTACTGGTAATTGTTTCATAATCGAAGGATGACGTTTGCTTAATTGCTTTGTAACATGATCAAGTATTGTAGATGCAAGAGTTATTTTTAATAACTGCCTCTTAGAGTATGTTTAAGCGGTTTTTCCCTAGAATAGAAGAAAGTTTACAAACCAGAAATGTCCATTTCAGCAACAAAAAGCATTTACTGGACACAATTCTGGGATCAATTAGATACTAACTACCAAATGGGCTAAATTAAATGAAGGTTCTCCTCTAATTTGTAATCTTCCTTCATATCTTTAGCTGTAAAGATTTTGCTGCTGGCAAAATATTTTTTTTTAAATGACAGAAATGTACAAGATATTTTGGTAATGCTGTGTTTCATGTTGCATAAAGAATTATATGTTTGGTAATAAATAAATAAGGTAACAGGCTTATAATGATGAACAACCTCCTTTGACTTGTTTTAGAGAAAACTTGAAAAACCCTTCCAATAGCAGAGGATGGCACACGAAGGAGCAATACTGATTCCCTGGTTTCAGCACAGCATTTTTCCACATTTCTCCAGTAAGGTAGAATTAACTGTGCCTGCTGAGTTAGATTAGTTGTTTACTGAAAGGCTTAATGTACAACATGGTACATTATGGTAGCAGATATTGCATGTGTCCTGTTGTTCTGTGAATTGTTTTGTTTCAGGTGGCTATCACTTTGCAATGCACATTTAATTTTTCAAACTATTAAGTTTTGATGATTAATTTTTTATTAGCATATCAAACTGAATTGTGCAATTTGTGTTATTACAAGTGCTGTTGTTTAAAAACAAAATAGGATGGGCAACCATGTTCCTGGACACTTGCTACACTGTGTTTCCAAATCGAGAATAAATGAATTTTAGAATTTTAGAATTCAGAATTCTAGCCACTGTGCAAAAGACTGGCTAGACAGCAAGAGGATGTTGTGTTCTTCATTAAAAGTGCATAGAACTATGGAAGAACAGAATAAAGATTTCCTTCTTGTCAGAAAAATTGTCAGTCACTGAAATACTTTTTTCAAGGTACACAGTATGTTTATGCAGTAAAAGTGACCGTTGGTCTGATTTTGGTTAGAATTGACATTGTTAGTTTTGCTGCCTTTACTGCCTGTTAGTAAAGTGCGTGTTAATGCTGTGGTTTTGGAGCTGTTAGTAAACTTCTGCAGTGCTATGTAATTGCCTGCTTGCTCATTTTTAACATTAGGTGTTGTAATGAACAATTGCACTATAATTAAAAGGTGAGTGTTTTGAAGCTACAGCACTTCAGTTTAAGGTACATTTGTATTACTGTAAATATATGTCACGGTATCTAATTACTATCATAAAGTTTCTGTCTTGCTATAACTCAATATTGTTTTCAAATGCATATATTTGTGTAAAAAGTGAAGTGCAGTACATCACCTTCATTTAGTAGAGCTGTTGAAGTAAAATGTTTAAACTTTGTTTTTTAAAATTAACTGATTCTTTTGTTCAAGTTAAGTTTATCCCAGTTACAAATCTGTAAAAATATGTAGTGTAGAGTGACGTAAAAAAAGTATTGAGTATTGAGTACAAGGGGTTTGTTCCCTATATGCCTGGGAACAGTACTGGTCTGCTTCTGTGACATTAATAGGAGTAAATAAGCTTGGTGAGAATGTGGCCTCTTCTCATTTGTAGCCGTTCTGATGTCCTGAAGTACACTGGCCTGGCTTTCGAGACGGCAGGATGCAGGTGTTCCTCCAGCACCTCCAAGGTACTGATGTTTGAGAGGTGATTTGCGATCACAGGGGTGCTCGGACTCAGACACTGTGCGTTTCCACCACGAGCACCTCATCATCAGACCTCCACCAGAGCACATCTTGAGCACGTCTTGACTGTAGGAGCTGAACAATGAAAATAACAATTACAGGCATATTACGTAAATGCATAGCATCACGGTGATGTATGAGACGGTATTTATACAGCTGCTTGCTTTTTAACCGTAATCCCCCAAGTGTGTCATTTAATGTCTATTACAGCTCCACACTGGACCATCTTAGATTTTCTTGGAAAAACATAGCCACAGAATTTGGCCAAAATTTGAGGTCCGCTTTGGCACACAGGGTCCTCCAAACTATTATGGCTGCGACCTCAGATATAGAGCTAGCTGCTTTGTGGTTTAAAGAGTAAGTTGTTTTAATACAGAAAAGGAATAACCTTGAAAGGCCGTATATGGACTAATTTCGACCTGATCTTTGTAGACGTTTTTTTTTACTCCAGTGATGTCTGTATTTTGCCAGTAAGGCTGAACAAGCACCACATCAAAGAAGTGGCCAGCATTACCAATCTGTGACATTTTACCAAATAGAAATTAAGAAAGTGTAATCTAGCATTTTTTTGACAGGGGCTATTCTGACACTAGATAATTGCTGAATAAAAGTCTTTTGACTAATGATGTTTACTTTACCACTGACAATGTTCAATTTTAATTATTCATTGCGGAGAATCATCCTCACCAGGGATAAACAGGGCGCTGGTGTTAATAGGGATTCTGCTCAGAGGAATGATAATAAGGACTTGCATATTTGTGAGTGACTGCTATTATGATAAATATTAATTTCCTGTGCCCCCCAGCTCGAAGCTGCTCGTTCTGTAGAGTCAAGGGAGAAAAACTGGATTTAATGAGCTGCGCACATTTTGGAATATTGCGCTACCCAGTTTTCAAGGCTGCTGCTGTTCCTTATTTACATTTCATGTGGGTGCTGAAACAGAAGCTTACTTATATAGCTGTCCCAGAATGCCTTAGCACTGGCATAGGCTCATGTTTCGTGTCCTAAACTGGCAGTGCCACAGCACGTTGGTGCAGAACAAGGGACAGTGCACAAGGAGATGGTTATGAACCACATCCAGGTAGAGTGATGAGTCTGGATTCCTGTATTACAAAATAGCACATCTAAGCAAGTAACACCAGGAGAAAATTAATGTTACTGGAAGATACTCTGGCAGTCTTCCTGCTGTCAGTTCTAGATGGAAGAGATAAAGGGTGCCACCACTTCCCACACACTCATTTTTTAGACGTAACATACAGTACAGTACATATGAGGTGCAAACCCACAGTTATAACATTATAACCGAGTTCCAGTCTTTACTATGGCTGGGGGTGCCTACAAGACAGTACCCAGCTGCAGCTGTCAAGGTGCATAATGTTGTGCTTATCCTTTACACCTTCCGAGTGTTAATGTTAGTGCATGTCAACTTTCTTTTGGCATTGTGCCTCAACAAATGTAACACTGGTCTGTGTATGAATATGTGACTGTTCTGTCACTCCTAATGAAGTGATTAGCCCAGACACGCTTTCATGCAGTTGTGGCTTCTTGTGAACTTATTTTAGATGTCAGATGTGCCTTAGTACCTGTTAAAAACTCTAACAGAAGATGGGACTTCCTGTATTGTTAATGACAAGCAGGATGTGTTGGAAAACTCAGATTTCGTGGACTAGTTGGTGATCTCTCTTATAGTTTCTTTGCCAGGTGTGGATTCTAGCAGCACGATTAGAATAAGCAAGATTTAATGATCACTTGATCGTGGGAAGTGTTGTGCCTGCTCGTTGGCAGTGAACTTGGTTGGTTGGGAATGGTGCACGAAATGTGCAATGATAGCAAGTCAGGACTGGAACGTAGAAATGCGATCTGGTTTCCACCCATTTGTGCCTGTTGAGTCACTGTTTTTTCCTTTCTTTCACCGACTGCTACAAAGGAGTGTCAGACATCCTGACTCGATGTCTTATCCATTCAAGACAGAGCATATCCCAGTAAAGGAAGAGCCAGAGTGTCTGAGACCTAAGCTTTCCACAAGTACACTAAACATTATGGTCCCTGCCATCTGAGCTGCATATCACCGTCAAGACGAACTGATGCTCTGTCTTCGCTTTGCCATCACCAGTTCACCTTGACTCATTTTCTGAGGCTGCTGTTGTCACCCTGTTTCTATTTCCATCTTAAGGCAGTACGTCCTGTTAAGGGCATCCAGCTTTTGCATTGTACAGCATTTCTCACCATCACAAAGATGAGGTTCGTGTAAGATGGGTGTTATAGTTTTTCACAATTACCACAAGGAGAGCCAAACGG